CCGCCGCGCGGCGCGCGGCGCCGGGGCGCGCGGGCGCGCTTGTCACCCGTCGCGGGCGCGGGCTCGTCGGGGGCCCCAGGTTCAGTCAGCTTCTTGAGCGCCGGCAGGTTGATTTTGCTGGCAAAGGCGGGCATCATTTTCTCCGCGCGCGCCGCCCCAAAGTTGACCGCGGCGGCGGGGCCCAGCAGCAGGAGGGCGGCGCAGTCGTACGCCTGCGCAGCATCTGCCTCTTCCTTGAACCTGCGCAGGGGGAGGCGGCGGGGGGCCGGCGCGCAGGCCAAGATTTTGGGGTGCGTCGGCGCGGCATGGGTGGGAGGAGGGGTGCGGCGCGGGCTGAGGGGGAGGGGTGCGGCGCCAGGGTGATTGGCCGGTGGGTTGCATGGGGCCGTGGGCCCCGGGCGCACGGTGTCGGGCGCGGGTGCCTTTTGGCCGCCGCTAGCGGGCGCGCGCGCCGCACCTGCCGACGTGGTGCTGCTTCGACTTGCAGTTGACCCTGACCCTCCAGGTGTTGGTGCCCTTGTCCCAGGTGAGCCCCGTGTGGCTGTTGCGCCCAGACGCCCTCCCCTCAGAAGGGTCTCGGGAGTCTGCGCTGCTCCGCCGCCCCGGCCGCGACACCATGGCGCCCGCCGTCCCTCGTCGAGCGTTTGGTAGGTTTTGGGCCTGTTAATTGCACCGTCGTCACCCGCTCTAAGCGGAGCTCCGCTTGCGCCAGTCACACGCTCGACGCTCCCCGTCCACGCCAGTATCCTATCCCCTCTATCGATGTATAAGTTATGAAGCCGAATGTGAACACCATGAGACCCTTGGTACTCAGACGCGGGGGTCGCGGAAGGTCGCACTCTTCTTCTCTGGTGGGCACTCACGCCCCATGACCGCGAACTGACTCAGGACGCGATTACATTCTCCCGGGACTGTTCAGAGCCCGTGAGATGGTCAAACACGAGTTCTACATGTGTTATCGCATTCCAAATCCCCGCTGACAGGCAGCGGCGTTGCTCGGCGTGGGTGCGGCGCTGGCATGATGCTGGTGGCATGGTTGACGCGGTGCGCCCGGGGCCCCCGCGCCGCACGCCGGGGCCGACGGTGCACCTCATCATGCTTGCAAAGTTGCCCGCAGCCGCACCAGGGCTCAGGCCGGCGCCGCAACGACCCCCGGCGGCGCTCCGTCACCACGATCGGGTTTACCAAGCAATCAGGGGTATCAGGAGAGGCGCCGGCGGATATTTCCCAGATTCGCCGCCAAAGGTTCTGGCCCGCCGCAGTGCACCCAGGAACCCCCACACACTGTTTTGCACGGCACGGGTCAGCAGCATCCCCTACAGTCAGAGGTCCAGGGGTGCTAGGGGCGGGGGGTTGTCACCTGGCCTGCAAAACGATCACGCGCCGCCCCCTGTGGTGTGTGCAGACCTCCCACGCCCCTCCCCTTTTGCAAGAGTCAGGATCCGACAAGTGCAAGCTCGCTCTTGTCGTGGGCGTGGCCGCTGGGTCCCAACCCAGTCGGCGCGGCATCTTGTCCGGGGCCGGGGTGCACACAACCTGCTTGCGCGGGCGCGTGCCCGCCCCCATCCCCGTCCCCCCAGCGGCCCGGGGGACGCCCGCAGGGGTTGGGGCGGCGCCCTGCTCTTCCAACCGCACGCCGCGGGGCGGCCTGGCTTCAGCTTGGGAGCGCCAGGCGGCGTTGCGGCGCGGATTGTTTTGGCTGCCCTTCACGTGGGTCCCCAGGGTGATGCATCAATGGTGTATGTAGAATTGGGGGGGGGCGCCACAAGCCGCGCCGGCTGTTTGTGTGCGTGCACATGCCTGTACGTCACAGGCGTGTCGGCTGCAGCAGCGCCCATGCGGGTTTGGTGGCGGGTGATTCAACCACCGGAATGGGCGCGCGGCCGGCAGCAGAGCCGCAGCAGCGGAGACGCGGCAGCGGGGGCGGGGTGCAGGTGCCGAGGCGGGCGTTTTGGCGCGTGCTGCTGGTGTGCTCCGACAAGAATGTAAAGGCGTTGCAGATTTCCTCTTGTCCCAGCTTTTGGGGATTTCTGGGGCATTTTCTGGAGCCGCATGACACGTCAGCACATCCGGGTGAAGCTCGCGAACGGTGGCGAGCGGACCGGCGTCGGAAGTGGTGGGCCGTTCGGCGTCGGCACGCGCGATGTGTTGGAGCGACGATCTGCATCAGCTTCATTACACAAAGGAATCCCCAGCTCTATCGGCATGCCCCGCAACACGTGTGTCCGCCGCGTGTTATTGCGGCACCACGGAAGTGGCCAGAGGGCAGAGGCAGATCCGGGCGCCGTGCTTGTCAACCCGGCGATTGGTCGCTCGGCATGTTGCAAGCTTTAATAATACACGAAACCGTATCAGCGCTCAATCAGGCCTTGCATGCAACACAGCTTGTCCGGCTGGAGTGGACGCAGCTTGTCCGGTGCTCGAACAGACCCTGACGCACCCGCTAGCCGTCCTTATAGGCACTAATTAAGCGTCTCCTTGCTTGGGAGGTGCGGCCGCGGCCGTGGCGAGGTGCCGTTGCCTTGGTGGCTTGTGCACGCACACCCAAGGCCGTGCAGGGCGCCAAAGGCCTGTGTAAAATGTTGATGCAGCTTGGAAAACTGCGAATTCCCGCACCTGAGTCAGCGCAGTGGTGCCTGCGGCGCCCGGCGCCGCTGCGAGGCGCTGCTCGCGCCCATTGCGCCCCACCGCGGCCCTCTCGCAGGCGGCCCTGCGGCCCTCCACGCGTACCCCCAGCTGCTCGACGGCCCCGGCCCCGGCCCCGCCGCTTGCGCGCCCCGCAGAGGCGCGGGCAGGCCCCCTCGCCGCCCCCACGCGCCCCGGCGCCGCTGTTGATGTCGCACGCGTGCCCGCGCTTCCAGACAGTCCCGCTCCAACAATTGAAAGAGGCCAGCCCCAGCAGGGCGCACGGCATAGCCTGGGATACAGAGCTCTCGTACCGCAAGGTCACGTCTGGATTGATATACCAGACCGCATGCGGCTCTGCATACCTAAAGCTGTGAGTTGCGGGTGGGCGGCGGCGACGCGCGCCGTTTGCTGGCTGGAGAGGGCCGCGGCAGCTGTGTCCCCTCCAGGGTGACGGGCGGCATAGGCTCCGCCGCCGCTGTTGACCCCTTTGCCTCGCAGTGGCGGTACGGCGGCCCCGCTCATCCTTGCGACCACCCCTTGGGCCACCCCTTGGACCGCTGTCCCTCTCACCCTTTCCCGCCCCTCAGACTCAACTTCACAGCGGCGAGGGCGGTCACGCTCTTCAACAGGTTTTACACGAGATGCTCCTTCCACACGAGTGACAGATGGGTGCGCCCCCGCGGGGGGCCGCCGCGGTCGGGGGTGTGGGACACCCGTACGCTCTTTTAGGGTGGCGCGGCGCCCCGGCAGCGCGGCGGCCGCGCCCCTGCTTGCACGCCAGGGCCGCGCGCGTGCACGGCGCGGCGGCGTCCCTCTCCCCTCCCCCCCGCCTTGGAGACGCTGCCCCTTGCGCGCCACGTTGATAAGGACCTCAGCATTCCCTCAGCCCAGCACCCCGTGCTGTCGTCCCGCGCTCTCGCCGCTCTGAATCCCCGCCACGCGCCACTGCTTTTCGCCGCCCCTGGTCCGTCGCTGCGCGCAGCACATCGCGCCGGCATGCATTTTGTTGGCCTCCAAAATCGACAACAGCCCGCGCACGGCCAAGGACGTGGCGTCGGCGTTCTTTGTGGCGCGCTGCAGCAAAAAGCACCGGGACCTGATGCACCGGGTGCATGATGCGGTGCGCGGCAGTGGCGGCGGTGCCGCCCCTCTCGTCCTGTGCGCGCAC